CCTGCTGCTGGCGGGGGGCTCATGCAAAGCCCCCGGCCGGGCCGTTGGCCACTGCTGGCTGCAGGCCAGGGCTGAGCCCGGTGGATGAACAGACACAAAGGGCCCCAGCGCTGCCCCGGGTGAAGGTATCCGCTTGCATGCCCTGGATTTCCCTTTGTGCCGCTGGCGCCTGAGCACAGCTCTTTGTGCGGGGACGCTGAGAACGGGCCCCGGGCTCGAAGGAGGGAGGTGGCCCACGGAAAGGGCAGTCACCCAGCAGGACGTGGGACCTGTCCCCTAGAGCTGCGCTGGCAGGAGGCCGTGTCCCCAGCACCCTGACAGCACCGGTCCCACACTGGAGCAGCTTCTGGGTCCCCACAGCAAGACAAAGGCAGCACAGAGCAGAGGGTGAAACCAGAGCCCTTTATTTGTGTCCTCACAGGAGCAGGGGGGGGGAAAGAGGCCAAGGCCAGCAGAGCAGCTGCTGAGCTGGAGCCAAGGAGGGGCAGAGGGAAGGAAAAGAGAAGGGGGGCAGGCACCAAGGCAGCTGCAGGCAGGAGGGAGGTGTCCTGTGCAGCTGTGGGGGGGAACACCAGGATGGCACAGCCAGGGAACCACTGGGTTATTGCTTGGAGAAATGGATCCAGGTTTGGGTTATTGCTTGGAGTAATGGATCCAGGTTTGGGTTATTGCTTGGAGTAATGGATCCAGGTTTGGGTTATTGCTTGGAGTAATGGATCCAGGTTTGGGTTATTGCTTAGAGAAAGGGATCCAGGTTGCAGCAGGGAGGCCCCTGGAGAGAGCGGGGCAGGCAGGTCCCTGCCTGCTAGTGGAAGGCACAAATTGGTGCTGAGGGCAGAGAGGGGCTGTGCTGGGTGCACCCACTGCTGCCCTTGGATTGCATAAAGAGTTAAAATCCAATCCTGGGAGAACAGAGGGGCTGCAGACCAGCTGCACAGGGCCCACCTCTGCGGAGGGCAGGGGGCAGGCCCTGCCCAAGGCACTGTGGCATGGCTGTGCTGATGTGGAGTGGGGAGCCCTGCTGTGCTGCTGGAAGAGGAAATGCCTGAGACCATGACAAGCTGCAGCAGCCGGAGCAGTTTTCCCAGAGGGCTCCAGGGCTCTCACAAGATGATCTTGAAGGAGCTGCAAGAGACACAACAGGTTCTGCTCCTCCTTGCTGGATCACATGCAAGGTGTTAGCAAGCGCCCAGTGCTGCGGGGAAGCAGCGCTGCCCTGCACGGGAAAGCTCTCTGCAGAGGGAACTGCATCCCATGCTGCTATGGGAGCCCTTGTCCAGGGAAGCCTTGGCTCATGGCCATCCAGAGCTCTGCCCCGTGCCAGCACAGCGACCAGGGAGGGCGAGACCCCCAGACAAACTGTGCCACTGGAGATCACCCTACCTGGCAAAGTCTGGAGAGCGGGAGCCTCCTGACCCTGCACTGGATCCCCAGCATCGCCCCGGACCCCCCCCCCAGGACAGTACTGGATCCCCCTGGGCACCACACTGGATCCCCAGGCACTGCTGCTGGTCAGGGGGTCATGGCAAAGCCCCGGCCGGGCCGTTGGCCACTGCTGGCTGCAGGCCAGGGCTGAGCCCGGTGGATGAACAGACACAAAGGGCCCCAGCGCTGCCCCGGGTGAAGGTATCCGCTTGCATGCCCTGGATTTCCCTTTGTGCCGCTGGCGCCTGAGCACAGCTCTTTGTGCGGGGACGCTGAGAACGGGCCCCGGGCTCGAAGGAGGGAGGTGGCCCACGGAAAGGGCAGTCACCCAGCAGGACGTGGGACCTGTCCCCTAGAGCTGCGCTGGCAGGAGGCCGTGTCCCCAGCACCCTGACAGCACCGGTCCCACGCTGGAGCAGCTTCTGGGTCCCCACAGCAAGACAAAGGCAGCACAGAGCAGAGGGTGAAACCAGAGCCCTTTATTTGTGTCCTCACAGGAGCAGGGGGGGGAAAGAGGCCAAGGCCAGCAGAGCAGCTGCTGAGCTGGAGCCAAGGAGGGGCAGAGGGAAGGAAAAGAGAAGGGGGGCAGGCACCAAGGCAGCTGCAGGCAGGAGGGAGGTGTCCTGTGCAGCTGTGGGGGGGAACACCAGGATGGCACAGCCAGGGAACCACTGGGTTATTGCTTGGAGAAATGGATCCAGGTTTGGGTTATTGCTTGGAGTAATGGATCCAGGTTTGGGTTATTGCTTAGAGAAAGGGATCCAGGTTGCAGCAGGGAGGCCCCTGGAGAGAGCGGGGCAGGCAGGTCCCTGCCTGCTAGTGGAAGGCACAAATTGGTGCTGAGGGCAGAGAGGGGCTGTGCTGGGTGCACCCACTGCTGCCCTTGGATTGCATAAAGAGTTAAAATCCAATCCTGGGAGAACAGAGGGGCTGCAGACCAGCTGCACAGGGCCCACCTCTGCGGAGGGCAGGGGGCAGGCCCTGCCCAAGGCACTGTGGCATGGCTGTGCTGATGTGGAGTGGGGAGCCCTGCTGTGCTGCTGGAAGAGGAAATGCCTGAGACCATGACAAGCTGCAGCAGCCGGAGCAGTTTTCCCAGAGGGCTCCAGGGCTCTCACAAGATGATCTTGAAGGAGCTGCAAGAGACACAACAGGTTCTGCTCCTCCTTGCTGGATCACATGCAAGGTGTTAGCAAGCGCCCAGTGCTGCGGGGAAGCAGCGCTGCCCTGCACGGGAAAGCTCTCTGCAGAGGGAACTGCATCCCATGCTGCTATGGGAGCCCTTGTCCAGGGAAGCCTTGGCTCATGGCCATCCAGAGCTCTGCCCCGTGCCAGCACAGCGACCAGGGAGGGCGAGACCCCCAGACAAACTGTGCCACTGGAGATCACCCTACCTGGCAAAGTCTGGAGAGCGGGAGACAACATGCTGGAACTCGGAGAGGTTGATGGTGCCATCCTTGTCGATGTCGGACTCCTCCAGGATCTGGAGGGAAGGAAAAGGCAAGTGGTGAACTCTGAGTGATGTGCAGCAGCCCATGCTCTGCCTGACAGTCCTCACATTTTGGATCAGCTGCTCCATCTCTGCACTGCTTAACCGGGAGTCCTCGCCTTGCCCAGTCAGACAGTTCACCAGTTTCTCCAGGTCCTTTCTGTCCAGAGTCCCATCATCGTCAAAGTCTGTGGAGAGAGGGAAGTTACGTTTCAACAGGGCTGCAGTGACCCCAGAGAGTCCCAAGCACTCAGCTCCACTGGGCCTGGGCACCCCAACGCCCTAGCAGGCTCTATGCTGCACCCCTGGGTGCCTGGCAGTTCCACAGGGAGCTCCTACAGCCACCCTGCCTGGAGATGCTCCAAGGACACTGCCAGCACTGGGGAATAAGGAGTCATCCCCCCCAAGGTGGGGGACCCCAGCACCTGACTCCAGCCTCACCAAAGATGCGGAAGGCGTAGTGGGATTTGATGTCGGAGGTGGCGGAGTCACTGAAGACGCTCAGCATGTCAAGGAAGTCTTCAAAGGACATGCTGTCATCCCCATCCTCCGAGGTGGAGAACACCCGGCAGATCCGGTGCTGGAAGGGGTTTGCCTGCCAACACAGGTCTGTCACAAACAACGGGACTGTCCCCATCCCTGCACAGCTGGGATCACTGGGATCCTCGGCGACATGGCAGGGAGCGGGAAGGTGCTGGCAGAGCTGCAGTGTGGGAAGTGAACAGCCTCCCCGGGGTGACTGTTGGGGCAGCACAGCGAGGGCAGAACCCTGGCACCATGGTGGGTAAACGGGGTCCTGCCCAAACTCGCCCGGACCCTGGGGGCCCCGGCTGCCTGCCAGGCTCCGTACCCGCAGCTCAGGCAACGTCAGGATCTGGCTCTTGGGAAGGCGCGCGGAGCAGGCGTTCTCCCTCTCCTCCTTTGGCAGCAGTTCACGGAACCTCTTGTAGGCACTTGAAGAGGCAAGAACAAGAGCGGCTGTGTGGGGGGAGCAGGGCGGGGGGCAGCCCTGCGGGCACGGCCAGCTCAGGCAGCTCTTCCCAGCGCTGCACAGAGGCCGCCAGCCCCTTTCCCACAGCTCCCCGCCAGCTGTGCCAGCCCGGGT